CCTTAAGAATTTGAGAAGTATGAAAATAAAATTAAATAAAAGGGCACTTAGCAAAAATACCGTTATTTGTCTTAACATTATAAATAGGCTATTTTTCAAAGTAGTATTTTGCAAAGAAAAAATGGAAAGATAGCAATTTTATAAAGAAGATACCATAAGGAGACACAAAATTGGTAAAAAGGTTAAAAAAAATAAAAATAAAAACATTTTTACCGCGCGAATAAGGCGCCGACCCTTCTTAGACGCCATAGGCGAAGCATATTGAAAAGCCCGTAAGCCTGAAGAGATTTTGGGGATATTTTACGAGCAAGTTCGGATGGGACTGTGGATATGACGTCAAATAACAGCCAAGTGGTGGCATACTTTCGAGCAATCAGCTTTCGGCTGTCGACAAGAAGATAAGAAGTCCGATCCAGGTAAGCCACGAAGAATGTAAGGACAATGTCGATAAAGAAAAATCCATTGACAACATTGTCCGTGATGGATAAGGGGGCCGCGGGCTTATCAAGAAAGCCGAATTCGAATGGGGATACCCAGGCAGTGTAGATAACAAGTATGACAAGAAAGTTTTGCCATGTTCTGCAGTTAATTTAAACAAGAGGTAAAATTTTAGCAAACTGAATAATTTTTTTGTAGAGGAAAAAAGGGAAAAAAACAGTAAAAAAAAATGAAAGAATTAGTGATTAAATTGATAACAAAGTTGCCCTCATTTTACTGCGCATTCCTAGGAAGCACAGAAGAAGATGAACTTTAGATATCGCTGAGAAGACGACAACACATGAAAAACTTAGGATGCCTAGCTTTTTGACTGGTAAACTTTGGAACCACAGTCAACTGTTTTCTTGAGAGACAGAACAAAAAAAATAATCAAAGATTACAAAGGGCTAAAGAATCGGTTGATGGTTATTGTATAGTGTTGTAAATGAAAAGGGTCAGCAACAATGTAACAGGCATCCATTTATGAAGATTTTCTTCTTTCTTTTCCTCAAAGATTCAATCACACTTGTAACTAATTTGGTTGAAAAGAAAAGGCAAAAGTGCCCAGAACCACCCAAAAGCAGTTGAACTTTAAGAATATTCATCACTTCCGATATGATCAAGAAAAT